ATTGGTACTCGAGTCGGCCAGCCCAGAGGCAGAGCCAGAGCCAGAGCCAGAGGCAGAGGCAGGCGGACCAAATGAACAAGTTCGACGACGATCATCATCAACATCATCATCATGATCATCAGAATTCTAGATACGTTGAGTAGAATGCCTGAGAAAATGCAGCGTTGACAGGCTCCATGTGAGAGCGAGAGAGAGAGCGGGAGAGCGAGCAGGGGCAGCGTCCGATCGCAGCAGACGGCATTGCGTCAAGTGGCAGCAACGGCGAGTCGACATGTCTGCCACAAGTCTGCCCGAATGCCCCAAACAGTCGCTGGACACACCGAACGCCCGATCCGCCCGATCCGCCCGATCTGCCCGATCCGCTCGGATTCGGCTCGTTTCGGTTTCGGTTCCCATGGCCAGTGGTGTCGAGGCTGCCAATCGGGCCGCAGCTACTCCAAAACTCCAATGACGATTGCATATTTTAGTTTCAAGAAACCAACTGAATCTTTTATTGAAGCTGCAAGCGGCCATTGTGGCCTCTTGCAACATTGTGTTGCATCGTTTTTGGCCCCACGACGCGTCGCCACTTGAGTAAATTAGTTTCGTAGAACTTGTAGGCTGCTCTTCTGCTTCTTCTACACAGATCTCTTCTTCTCTTTCTTTTTTTCTTTCTCGTTTTGAGAAATTAGTTGTACGGAGCAGCTCCCACTGACAGCTGATGGCCTGTGAATGGCTTCGAGCATGCCTCCAGCACTCGAGCCAGGTATTCAAACTGTTTGCTCCCATGCCAATTTGAAGATCAGTCTGCCAATTGCAAAGGTGCCAAATCTCTGGCCCTATACTTATATTAAAAGATGCTTTCACTTAAATGCATATTCATTTGAATTAAATCCACAAATAGCCAAACTCTTTTATAATTGCAAAGGAATAAGAACTTTTACTGGACTTGAGTAGAGGTCGCTGACTGAGCGACTATCCGGGCAGTCGATTAAAATCCTCAAATCGTATTATTAGAATTCGATATAAGCGCACTCACATTTATGGTTCATATAGAAAGAGAGTATATCATAGCATGGGATGCCCTCTGAAATTGCCTTAACAATTAAAATTTCCAGCAAATTTACAGCCTTCAATAGGGCAGCTGCTCAAACTGTGCGTGTGTGTGTGCGTGTGTGTGCGTGTGTGTGTGCGTGTGTGTATTAGTAGTCAAAACTATTGAAATGCCCGAGTGTGCTACACATTCCACTCGGGGCAGCAAATGCGAATTTCAAAGTCAAATTCAAATTTAAAATACGAAAATTCCCAAATCCAAGGCGAACAAATATTTTGCCATGAATTTTAGTCTGCGCTGCGGGGTTGGAAATTATTCACACACAAATGTGTAATTACCCAGACACAGAACACAACAGCAGCAGCAACAACAACAACACACACACACACACACGTGCTCTGACTAACACACACTCACACACACACACACAGAGCGAGCTCTAAAATTGGCAGCACACAAAAAGTTCGCTTGGCAAAAGGTTGAAGAGCTGCGGCTTGTGTGTGTGTATTTGTGTGTGTGTGTATGCGCCTGTGTGTTTGTGTGTGTGTGTGTGTGTGTTAGCTAGGGGCGTGGCTGTTGCTGCTGCGACTGCTGCTGCTACTGGCATGGAAAATTAACAATTTTTCAATTAAAATCAATACCGAGTGCTTTTTTTGGCCTCAACTGCAAATGTGGGCGGTGTGGAGGGCGTTGTGGAGGGGCGGTGTGGGGCATGTTAGCTGCATTTGCACATGATAACTCACTGTGTGTGTGTGTGTGTGTGTGTGTGCTGTGCGCTGTTGTGCACATTTCAGGCAAATAGCTTAAGTGCCTGAAAATATGCAACACATGCGACAGGCAGCGCTGTCTGCGTGTGTGTGTGTGTGTGCATGCTAAGCTGACTCTGCGTGTGTGTGTGTGTGTGTGTGTGTGTGTGTGCGTGTGTGTGGTCTTATATGCTGCTGTTGTTGTTAGATTTTTTGGGGCGCCATCAAGTCAATTTCTAAAGCCTTTTTTGCCAGAATCCACACACACACAAACCCGCACACACACACACACACACATAGACAGACAAATAGTGCCGTTATTTTGCATGACATTTGCAGGCTATTTGCTGTGTATGAGTGTGCGTGTCTGTGTGTGTGTTTGGGGTCGTATTCTGCTCAGCTGCTGCGCTGCGGTCGTTTGGTCTTTAGAGTATTTTGTGGTTGTCTAACTGTTGAGCTGCGTGTGTGTGTGTGAGTGTGCGGGTGTGTGGGTGTGGGTGTAGCATACGCCCACTTGCTGTAAGTAACACGCACACACGCACACACACACTCGGGCAGAGTGAAAGTCGTTGACTATTTGCGGGCACCGCAAACAACGTTAAATGCAAATTTACGCCAAGCATCGTCCGTCCCTTCCGTGTTTTCCCCCTGTCTTGCCACTAGCCAACCCCGCTGGGGCGAGTTCAGTCCCCCCCCTCACCCCACCCTCTCCTGGGCAACCCTGCAACACACAACAGTTACACACAAAATGGCCGTACTTTGGCGCCATTGCCTCAGTTGTTGCTGCTGATGACGATTGCCGTTATTGCCAAGTAAGTGAGAGAGCAGGCAAGTGCGTAAGAGCGTCAGAAAGACAGTGAGAGAGAGAGAGAGAGAGGGGGAGAGGGAGAGAGAGCAAGAGGAAGAGAGAGGGGGAGGAAGAGAGAGCGAGGCTCGTTCGTTCGTCTCTGGGCCAGAATTGAAGTGTTAGTTGTAATGCTACTAATTGGACTCGCTTTTAGCAGTGCTTCATGTGCCCCCAAGCAAGCCAAAGGCGAAGCTCCGTCAAAGTGCCCACTCGTACGTGTGTGTGCGTGGGCGTGTGTGTGTGTGTGTGTGTGCGTGGGTGTGTGCTACTTCAAAGTCTATAATTGGAAAATTTTACACACTCGAAATTCAATTTTCAGCTAGGGTCTTGGAGCTTGTCGGGATAAGAGCAAGCCACAAAGATAGAGAGAGAGAGCGAGAGAGAGAGAGAGAGGGCGGGAAAGAGACTGAGAGCGAGCGAGTGTGGTCTGAGTGTGCTGCCGCAAAGGATTTGTTGATGTCGATTAGTAAGTTAATAAAGCTTAAAGCATGCAACTAAAGAGCAATTGTAATTAGCAGAGCTGCATTTGAAATAATCGATAGGCAATTAACATTAGAATCACATTGTCAAAGGCAAGCGATTTTTATCGATATTCAAAAAACCACAACGAAACCTACGTACTTCCTACATATTCCGTGAACGTAGACAAAACAGCTTAATTAAGTGCAGTTAGCATTTGACCGAGCTGCATTTATCCACATCTATAGTTGATCGATATTTATCGATTTGTAATATCATTGCTAACAATTGGGATTAACATAACATTTAACAACAAAAATTTATATTCAGGCTTAAGGGGAATGCAATTGGGCATTGATTACGATAATTAATGTTAAACTAAGCGATTGCAACCAAATCGATAAATTTGAAATCGATACAATTGAAATATATATGAGAAATAAATGTATGCAAATAACTAAACTGCTGCACCTAAGACAACTAATTTATATCGATAACATTTGATCGATAACTTATCAATAGTGTACTTCGATATCGTGCTGGCAACTGAAGCTATCGATAGTTTGTGCAGTGTTATCGATAAACTAACAAATAATTCCAGCACACACCAAAAATCAAGCAGTCGCGCCTTCGCCAATCGAAGTCAACCCTTCAGCCTGAGCCTGAGCCTGAGCCTAAGCTAAGTGCCTGGGCACTTGAGTCGGCTGCCTGGAAAGGAGGGGACGTGCCCGAGAACCAGTCCGCAGTTCGCAGTCCGTTCCAGTTTCAGTGACAGCTCCCTTTCCTGTTCCCGTTCCCGTTCCCGTTGCCCTTCCCTATTGCCGTGAGTGGCGCACTCGATGCGGGTAAAAAGGGCAAATTTCGTACATGGACGGGGGGGGGGGGGAGGGTCGGTCGGAGAGGGGCTGAAGTAACCGCGCCATAATTACACAATTTTTTTCGTGTGTTTTTTTTTCGTCTTTTTTTGAACATTTTTCTTGTTTTTTCTCTTTATTTTTTTGCTAATCAAACACATTGCGAGAACGAGAGAGCGCATGAAATACGTAAGCTTTTTAAGGGTGGCAATTTGGCGGCGTTCAAGTTCACTCGATGAAAGCGCACACACAGCCAACACACACACAGCCAATACACACACACACACACCATCTCCCTCTCCCTCTCTCCCTTTCTGGTGTGCGCTGTCTCGCTTGCACTGCCCTGGCTGGCATTTAGCTGGAACAATAACGGCCATTAAAATGCTTAATTATAAATTCGCAAACGTAGCTGATTTTTTTGCGTAGCCCCCAAACCGAACCGAACCCAAGCCCAAACTCAGTCCGGGACGCTGACGCGGCTGTGCGGGCAAGGACTCAGTCGGGCAACTGTTGGAGCTGCACTTGAGCTGCCGCAGCTGAGGTTGATTGCTTATTAGGAACGAACAGGGTATTAACCAGTGCAAGGATGATCACAATGGGCTGGTGTCTGTCCGTCTGTCCGTCTGTCGGTCTGCCCGTCTCTCTGTTTGTCTGTCTGTGCAGCGCACAATCGAGGTGTGAAAAATCAGCACAGAACAATCCAAACAAAGACAATGAGACAAAAAGGAAATGCAAATTCCAAATGCCTTATACCTGACACACAAGCTCAGCCAGTCCTTACCAGCCCAGCTCAGCCCCGCCCCGCCCAGCTACAAGCTGGGGCCCATCTCCAAGCGAAATCCGTCTGGTTTCTCATCGCTTTCTGCTTTGTTTTGCCAACACGGGCAACACCTTTAAACGCAACTGCACAGCGGATGTAATTAGTTCGTTAATTCATTAAGCAATTCGCTGGGGGCTGAGCAATGAATATAATATCAAATTACCCGGCACTTCGGGCATTCGTCATTCGTTCATTCATTCTCTCGTACATCTCATCGCAATCTATTCAATGTGTGACTCACCTGTATGCGATCCTCGGGCAGTTCCGTTTTCAGTGAGAGCATCTCGCGGGCATAGACATCGGGATAATGCGCCTCCTTGAAGGCTTCCTCTAGCTTCTCCAGCTGATAGCTGGTGAATATTGTTCGGCTGTGGCGACGCTTCTTTTTCTTCTTCTTGCCATTGGGACCAACACCAAAACCGTTAAGGCCATCCATGCCAAAGTCCTTGGCAGCCAACGAGCCTGCAATTGTTATAAGTACATTTTTGGATTTTCAATTTTGCTGTAACTATTTGTGGTATGTCTATTTCAGGAATCACCCGCAACGCCTTAACTAGTTGAGAATTACAAGCGTCAATCAACGACAACAGGGAGCTAGTTTTGTTTTCTGTTCAATTTCAATTCAATCTCACGTTTATTATTTATTCTCAGCGAAGGTTCCTTCAATTTGGTCACAAAATGAGGCACGGAAGCAATTGTAGGCGTTTCGGTTCACGCTTTGAACCAGCTTCCTGCCTTGTGGTTCGGTTCGTGAACCCTGTTCAATTGTTTAATGGTTATTAATCTTGCACTTACCCCAAGTTGAAATCAGCATCTAGTTCAATTTCAGCTTCAATTCAATTTCAGTTTCAATTAACTTTTTCATTGCTACGCTCTCTTTCTCTTTCTCTCTCTCTCTCTCTCTCTCTCTCTCTCTCTCTCTCTCTCTCTCTCTCTATCTCTCTCGTACATCTTCTATTTTGTACTTATGGAATCGAAACAAGCTACTTTTTTATACTATTCACTATCAGAAATTCTTTTCAATATCACTTGCAATTCAATCAACATTCAACTCATCTTCTACCTGTCTCGTCTTTGCCTTTCACGACATTTTTAACATGCCGTATGACTCATTAAACCGGGTAAAATAATTTGTACGCTTGCTCTACTTTTCGTTCAACTTCAACTTCTACTTCTAGTTCAACTTCATCTTCAACTCAGTTTCAATTTCAATCAAATCTTGCACTGCAACTATATTTCTCTCTCTCCCTTTCTCTCTCTCACTTATTCTATCTCTATTATTATCTGTATTTATATTGTATACTAATATATCAGAAGTACGCTACTCTTTTATACTTGGCTACTTGACATCCATTTCAATATCGCTTTCAATTCAATCTACATTCAACTCATCTGTTACTTGCCTTATTTTGGTCATACTTACTACTCATTGACTCATTTAATCGCTTCAAATTCATGTGCTTATCCCACTTCAATTCAATTTCAGTTCCAACTCTTGCAGTGCAACTGCCTTCCCCTCCCTCTCCCTATCCCCCTCCCCCTCTCACGGTGTTGCCACTTCCTTGTCAAAATTAGTTCACAGCGTTTTTTCAATGCTGCTCCCATGACCTACACACTGGCAGAGCCCACCCCTCCTCACTCCTCACTCCACCCACCCAAGCAGCATAACCTGCTCCCTAACTCTAGACGGCGCTGAAGCGCGACTTTCAAGTGGTTCTGTTTTATGTTGAATTTAATTTTTCATCTCTTTTGTTTATCTTTCCACTGACTGGTCTCTGGCAATCAGCTGGTTAGGCGAGAGGCGGGGAGTTTGTCTGTTATTTTAAATATTTAATAATTGTATCTAGTTTCGCACTTCCTTCAAGGAAGACACCACTTGACATCGTCATGAACCGCTCGAAATGGGGGAAAGTGAAAGCGGCAGCCGTGAGCCGTCTTGAGGACTTCGAGGCTGAGCCGATGCCAGCAAATGCCGATGATGAGCGTTGACAGACGCGCAATGAGTTGTTTTTTTTAGGCTGGCAAGTGTTTGAGCTGCGCAGGAGGATTAGATAGATGAGGACCAGGAGTGTACGAAGAGGAGGAGCTTTAAGGGGAGGTGGTTTTAAGGGGGAGGATCGTGTCTTGCCGCTGATCAGCGCCGCCAACTCGCCACTTGGCTGACTCGAGGAGCCAGCAAATCGGCGATGCCTTTCAATAGGCAAATCGAAGATTGAAGCACCCGGAAAAACAACACGACAAGACAAAGGCATATCCAAAAGGGGGGAGAGCAGCGTCTTGTCAGCGCCAGTCACAGTGTGTTTCTTATGTTTTTTTTTTGGGAAAGTACAAAAACAACAACAACAACAAGAAGAGCATGAAAAAGATGCTGAAAACATGCCGCATACTCATGTGCGCTCTTTACCCAAAACCAATTCGCATTGAAATTCGATATGAAAAATTAAGTAGAAGCATATTTATGTTGTCGTTGTTGTTGTCGAAGTTGTCGAAGTTGTTGTTGTCGAAGTTGTTGTTGTCGCTGTCGAGTTGTTCAAGTGAAGCGCTGACGTGTATCCTTCTCATATATTGCTGCTGCTGCTGCTGCTGCTGCTGTTGTTGTTGTTGTACTTTATTTTCTGATGGAGGGGCAGGCCGGGGCAAGTCAACGCGTATTTTCCACTAAATATGCGTGAAGCAAACAAAAATAAATATAAAAAAAAAAACGAGCCGCATCTTGTGAGTGCAGCGAACTGAAGTGAAAATCGTTGTAATGAATGCGATTTGCGGCGTCTTAAATTACCAAACCGAAATGCGGCAAAGGCAATTTCCCCAAATACCCAAGTAAAATATCAGTATTAGTAGTGACTGTGTGTGTGTGTGTGTGTGTGTGTATGTGTGTGTGTGTGTGTGCGTATTAAATACGCTTAATTTATGTGCCCAGGAATTCAATTCGAATTACAATTTGCACTCAATTCCTGTGAAACTGCATGTAGAACGAAATAATTAATAAATATCAAATAGCTTAATGCCCCATCCTGATTAGAGTCCAGCTTGAGGAATCAGTTTTTCATTGAAAACATAAAACAGAGCTAGCTGCGAAGTTTAAATACCCTTGCAGACACATGGCTCAAGGCCTTGATCTATATCTAGAGGAGAAACCAAAAAGGAGATATATTTCAAAGCTAAGTAAGTTTTTCCTATATGAAATTGGTTTTTGTTCGATCCTTGCCATGTCAGCTATATGATATAGTCGAGTGTTTCGACCGATTCTGACAAAAAGTCGAACCTATGCACGGTTTCGTGAAGTTAACTTTAAGATTGAGCGAGTAATTTGCAAAGCGACAGACAGTAGGAGAGGGCTATATCGACTTGACTGTTGATATTGATCAAGAATATATATATACGATATCACTTTTTTCAGCCATTTCCCGCTAGTAGACAGTTTAAATCTACCCGAGCTATTTTGAACCCAAAGTCTTAAGTTATATTTTGCATAAAGTTTTATTTTACTGATCGACTGATCAAAAACGCAGCAAATTTTCCGCCAATATTCCGCAGCTGTAGGTGGAATTTACAAAATCGATGAAACACGTATTTATTAAAATCTTATTTCGGGCTTTGAAAATAAGTATGAGTGAAAAAGTATCAGTACATTTATTTTTCACCTAGGAAGCTTGGATTCTGCGAAAGGTGTACAACACGTTTCAAATCATTTTTCATAAAGATTCTTTCCATTTCCATTAAGGAAGAATGGATTTGCCATTTGAGCCAAGGTCTTTGAAAATGCGCTTGTGCTGCACGTTGTTCACCAATCAATCATTCAATCAGTCAGTCAGTTCGTCAGTCGATCAGGACAAACAGTTTCATATATATATATATATCCATAATGCCGGAAACAAAATAATTGCATCAGCTACAAGAGCTTAATTGAATTTGTATTTTCATTAAATTTTCTATTTGATTTAATTCGAAGCATATTCCAATTTCATTTAGCATTGAAAACATTTCAATTTGCTGATGCATTGATTAACTAATTTCATATATTAACTAATTTGTTTTGCGGCATAGCATAAATGAGTTGTTAGTTTTTTTTCTATTATTGATAGTTGGAATTATTATTCAATCTGGTTGGAATTCGATTAGTCTGCAGCTGTGAAGGAAATATACATATATATATATACATATATTGGTTGGATGTGAGCGGACGCTAATCAACACTGTGTTTATGTGTTGCACAAAATCTAATTATGCAATTAGGATGATGAGCAAATGTGCGAAATTAGTTAATTCCGCGCGCACAAAAGTAGGCAACATTAATTTTGTTCTTATATGTTTACACTTGTGCCAGCGCACTTTTAATGAGCTCACGCACACACAGAAACATGCACACACAGCACACAGAACACAGCACACACAGCTTTATTATTGAAAGTTTTGCCAACATAAAAGTCGAGGGCGCCCAATGCCAAACACACACACACACACACACACACACACACACATTCAAGCACAGCAGCCGCACATGCCAGCATGCAGACTAGCACACACACACTCGCACACACACATACACACGCACATGCATCACAACATATTAGCAATTAAAATTTTCTTAGTTAATTACTTTAAGCAGGCGACGACACGAAAATTCCAGAGCGAAAAATGTCGCAGCAAATGAAAGGCGACAGCACACACACAGAGAGAGACGGAGGGAGAGAGAGAGAGAGGGAGGGCGAGAGGGAGTTAGAGGGAGTGAGAGTGAGAGGGAGAGCGCGGGCGAGGCAGCGTGTGAGCGTTTGCCACGCCCAACGGCATGAAGTGAATTTTATGAAATTTATGCGCATTTCACTAGAAAATTTAATTAGGAAATCTAATTTGCTCAAAAGCGCATAAAAAATGTCGCCCAACGTTGAATGCTCGGTCCCTGCTCGGGCGCCATTTTTGTGCAAAGCAGCTAGCCGCAGTCGCTATCCGTCTGTGTGTGCGTGTGTGTGAGTGTGTGTGTGTGTGTGTGTGCGTGCGTTTATTGTCAGTGCCTGATGCTCTGTGCGGGTGGCTAGGCAGCGAGGGGGCGGGCTAGGGCTAGGGCTTGGGTTGGGGCTGGGGTTGGGGTTGGGGCTGGGAAGAGACATGCATCAAGTAACCAACAAAATGACTAATTCGTGGCCCATGTGTGTGTCGACGCCCTGTGTATGCGCGTGTGTGTGTGTGCGTGTGTGCCGCATAAACAGTTGCATGGCAAAATACGCTAATAAAGTGGCTGAGTTGTTGGCTGCGTCGCTGGCAGCAACAGCAGCAACGACGGCGGCGACGACAGCGACAGCTGCAGCGCAGACATATTCGGTTAGGTTGGGGTTGGGGGGGGGGGGGGGGTTACATTTGCAATTTGCATTAGCGTCAAAGTGGCTGCGTTTCCCTGCAAGTGTGTGCATGTGTGTGCGTGTTCTGGGTGCTGCTATAGCCATCTCGCTCGCTCGGCTTGTGCC